AAATGTAATCAAGGTTCTTTAATTTTAATAATCTACCAATAATCACCTGTATAGTTGTGACCATGACCCCAATAGTTGTTACATTTCCCATATATATTTTTATTCTCCTCTATACTTAAGGTTTCACTAAAAATAAATCAATTACATGTAAGAGATTTCATAATAATCTACAAATAAATAGTAATAAATAAGTAATACCTGTGTAAACGATGACAGCTGGATATTATTTCCTTTCTTGTTAAATAAGCAATCGGAGCCATTACGTATTGCTTATACACTATAAAGAAAAGAGATTATAAAGCAGAACTTATCTATCAATCATAAAAAAATTTTACATAAAAGTTTATGTATTATTATACATACCTAAATATCCTAAAATTTAATCAGGCAAGAGAGTTAATGAGCAGAAAATATCATACGTATTTAAAACAATATGAAAAATGTATTTATTACATCAGAAAGGATTTTTATCGCTATAGTATCACATCATGTCATATCTTCAATGTTACTTGATGTTACTACTCGCGTTTGACTTTGACGTTTGACGCAGGGCTGCTATGAAAAATCCTTCACGCGAGTAGTGGGGACTGGTGGGCAGTTTCAACCAGTGCATACAAAGATACAAATACGAGTCATGCCGGTAACGGCGGTAACGCCCTGAATGAGTATTTTAATAATCTGTGAGATAAATATTTGGTGGGATGCAAAATAAACCACGCGTAACGTCATAAAATAAAGAATACGAAGTCAATTATAATAGCATTCGATTAGAACGTTAGTATTAAAAAATGGATAGTAAGGGCAGGAAGATAATCGTGTGTGATAACGGAACAGGGGTAAGGTTATGGTTCAATTACTTTTTTTAATTTCTGTGTCTTCGAACATGTTTAAAATACTTCCTTTTCATTCGCATCAATGAAAAAACGAAGAACTTTTACAGTTTGTAAAATGTGGATATGCAGGAGCTAATTTTCCAGCACACATATTTCCATCTATAGTAGGACGCCCTATTATCAGAGCTGTCAATAAGATAGGAGACATTGACGTAAAGGTATGGCTTCCCATTTCTCCAGTTAATTAAGTGGTATATTGATTTATCACAATTAATTATTTGAAATTGTGTTAACTTATAAACGAAATTTATTGCTTTATATATATCAGTATTTTTACAAAGAGGATAAAGCTACTTTTATATGAATCTACTTTATTTAGAGGATGAATCTTTTTTTCGACAGGATTCCAAATATTATGTTCTGTATAAATACATGTGACAAATAAATTAGTAAGATTCCTATCCTATCTTCGGAAGTGTAATTGAAAGTAGGGTGTAAAAATGTTTATTACATTGACAATTGTAAATTTACATTATAATAACATATTAGTGTATTCTAACGATCGCAGCAATCTGACATTGTGATTTAATGTTTTTCTTACAATATTGTATTACCTGTATCAATAAATTTTGTTATTACAT